ATAACTATCATGATAGATACAAACTCACAAAAGACTAGAAAAAGAATTTTTCATTGCAATACTTCTATTGAATAATCCAATTCCCACCACCTCCTGGACATCCTTCTACTCTTTCTGCACGTGCCCATAGAGGCATATTGGTATTGTCTACCTCAACTTTTCCTTTAGAAGTGTTAGACATTGTTATTGTTTGTGGATTATCACGGATAGTCAGCAATGGTTAGTATGCGTATGATTAAGGGGCAACTTGTAAAAAAAAAAAAGTGGGAAACAAGGGATGCATACAATTTTTTGGCATATTTTGATATCGGATGAAGAGTATGGAAAAGAAATATTGCTTTCTTTATTATTGAATGCTATTATTATTATTGAATGCTCATTGATCAACCAAAATAGCACTTTCAATTCTCGATTCATAGAAAAAAGAAGCAGCTAGCTAATAAATTATACTATCTATTTAATGTGAGCGATAGAAAAAACCAGAAGTTTTGATTTTTAAATTTATAGCAAAAAAGAAAACAATGCAGCACTTGTTAATGCTATTTTCGTTATTTCTTTATTGAACGCTCATTGGTCAGCCAAAATAGCGAGTTCTCCTTTTTTCAATGAAGAAAGAGGCTGCTGCTAGTTATTGAATGAGCATGCCTAGCATAGAAAAAAAGAAAGAGTTTGCTACTTGTTAAAGAATGCACGGCTACGTTTCAAAAATGTAGAGAGAGATTGTAAAGAGGTAAGCATAAATAGAAAGAATCCATACATTTAGAGTTTCTACATTAACAAAGAATCCAATTTCCAGGATTCTTGAACTCGAAGAATCCAGGCCAACCCAAAAGATTCCGTACATGTTCCCATGTCCATATGTCTCTGATATGGGTTTCAAAGAATTCATGTAACATAGGTTATGATGTAACCTCAGATCAGCCACTTGCTAAACTTTCAATTACATGACCATAAAACACATTTGGAGAACACTTTAAATTAAACTAAGGCTAATTATCTTCAAATTCAGTAGGTATTCATCCACAAAATTGAGTAAACAAACTAGCCAAAATCAATGCAGAATTTTACAAATTTATTTCAATGTCTGTGAGATCAGATTTCAAATCCACAATGGTTTGAAATATGTCCTTAAACAAACTCAGTAAAATAAAGGTTTATTCCAATCAAATTTAAAATGAGACAACTTAGAGAGAAGAAGCGGGTGTAGAATAATTTTAAAATTCGTCTTGGAAGGTATCCACACTAGTTCTTGGATTTTAATGTTAATGGGGTGTAGTAAAATCATCATCATCATCTAAGCCTTATCCCTATTATTTGGCCTAATAAGTGTAGCAAAATTAGGGTTTTAATTATAAATAAAAAGTTGGGGTAAGGTTTCAATGAGAATCATTTAGGTTGCTTCTAGGGACTTTAAGGTTATTGTGCAATTCTAGTGGGGAATACTTGCTGGTTTTTAAATTAGAATAAGAGGAAAAGAATTTAACGATATATAAAACAGAAAAAGGTAAGGGAAAAGACAATTTGATAAAGAAGGAAGAATACTAAGGAGTTCAAAGAATGTTTAGAAATAAGAAGGGAAAAAGAGGAAAGAGAAGAGGAAAGACGGGAAAGAAAGGAATGAAAAATACTAGAAGGAAAAGAAGAAAAGCCGAAAAGAAGAAAAGAAAACTTGAAGACTACCTTTGAAGGGTGGGACCTTTGGACAAGCTACCAAGCTTTCTCTATGGTCTTCAAAGTGAAGATTCCCTATCTAAGGTTTTCTTTCTTAAAAATCTCTCAAAATAAACATTCTTAGGGGCTGGACATCCCTCTCTCTCATTTTATACTTAGTTTTCTTTAAAAACAATACTTCAAATCTCACTGAATAAAATATTAAAATGACTAACCTGCCCCAGCATTCTCTACAACACCCAAAAAACATAAATTCCATAACATAACTAAAAAAATTAGAGGTCCAAATAACGTTAGTTTTCAATCTCCAATAAAACAAATAAAAAAGTAAAACCCTTAATAAAAATTAAATTAAATTGGTCCCATAGAAGGCCATGCCCTTATCAAATGCCCCCGGTCAGGAACAACTTGACCTGTTGAGTATACAGCCATGCAAAGCAGATAAAGTTACTCTTGCCTCCTCCATAACTCATGCCCAACAGACCATGAATAATCAGACAAAGGGCGATCTTTCCACCAATGTATTAACCACCGCGTGCATTGACGGTCTAAACATCCACCACATCCTCTATCTCGTCCTGAGTAGCCCTGCAGTCTCCAGTGAACTAGCATCCAAGTATGCAAATGGATTGTTGGGGTTTATAGCCTCTGAGGCCCGTGAAAGCATCAAAAAATAATAAATATAATGACTTGTACACTTCAAGGGGAGAGTATGACTGGTTGACTGACCGAGGGTTAGGCATTCTATAGCCCAAGTCATGTCCAAAACCTTTTTCCTTGGGCACAAGCACCGTTGAGGGTTTTTGGCGGGTCATCCCTTGTTGAGCTGAGAAAGATGCCCAAGGATGGTTTCCAGTCTAGGAGAGCTTCACAATCTCCTTTGTGCGATCGTAGGCCTGTGCGAGCGAAGATCAAAATCCTCAACAAGTTTTTGCACGATATTTACATATGATAATCACATACTGGTAAGCAACCTTGTAGAGGGATATGTGCACGTGTGCATAGAGAGAATCCCCCTTGCACTATAGTAATACATGCATCTAACTTGCTCGTAAGGGGGAAACCTTTAATCCACATACTGGAATCATAGTTCCATTATTTATTGGCTAGCCTTGACGATCAAATTGCCCATATGCATGATTGCAGGTCATGGGTCTCATTCAATTGTTTTGAGAAGATAATTGTGGATCATGGACTCTGGCACGAGTGAAGAGCTCTGACAATCACTTTTTTGACCCATTGGTACCAATCCACTTCTAGATGTATTTCT